CCAATTACCCTTTTATTTAACGGTGGATTCTAATGAGAGTTGGACGGAAGGACGTTTTGCGCAAGAAAATGCAAATGTAGTGACGTTCTGCACCAAAAAATCAAACGTAGGGACGTTTTCCACAAGGACTGTCATAGGAAGGGACGTTTTGCGCCAATAACCCTATTAATAATAAGCAACAATTTTCTCTAAAAGCAACCTCACTCACTAGTATCAGGTCAAATAAACCATATACTAAGAACTGTTTGGTGGCCAATTTTTGGGAAAATATTGTTTTGAATAGTGAATTTTTGGAGATTGTGTGGTTAAAAAGTAGGAAAAAGTTTTGAGTTTACGTTTAAAATATTTTTTTGTTAATGTGTAGTTGAAAATGAGTACGTAAAAAAAATAAGTTTTGAAATAACGAGAGAAACAGGAGTTAAGATTGCCCCATTTGTGTTAGCCTCCCATCCAAGAACCCGGTTCCCTCGATTGTCTTCGAAGGTACGAGGGTTTGTCATGAACTGTTCACGTGTGCTATCGGTGGCCTTCGAAACTTGTTCATTTTTAGTCACAATGACATGCGGAAATGGCCAAATTGCTGATCTATCCTTCTCATTGCTGATGCAAATCTACACTTGGTTTTTCGTTTTTGTTTGAAAATAAAGCCACCACTCCTCCATTTCGAGTGCCACATTGCTTGCTATGTGGCAACATTTTCGGCCCTCTAGTACAGAAGGCATTGCAGGCAGAATTTCTGGCCTTGAAATGTGAATATAAATATATACTTACAGGCATCCTATATATCTCTCTCTCATTCTTCTTGGGTATCTTTTACATAATTTTAGTTGGTGAAATTAAGGATGTCTTTTTCATCAAGCCTCTTGTTCTTTGTAACAGTTTGGTTGTTCAATTCAATTCCGTATTCTGCAAAACCAGATGATGCTAGTTATGGAGATGGCACGGTAGCGCCACCGAGTGGTTGTAACAACTGCACCATTTGTCAATATCCCTGCCACCATCAGCCGCCACCGCCTTCGGGTTACCAATCATACGGCACTCCGCCACCACCTCAGGTGGTGCAAGGCAACTGCCCACCGGCACCAGCTGCTCCTGTTCAGTGCTGTCAATATGCACCTCCCATGCCTTTCTATTCTCCTTATAACAACTACTCGGGATCGGATTCTTTGCAATTTCCGATGATTGAACCTTTTATTTTCAAGGGATCTTCTGCTATTTTCTTCTTGTTAATTCTCTTATTTGTTTCTCTGGTTTAAAGAAATCCAACCCCTACCCACACTACCCTAGTTTTGTATTTTATTATTCCATAGTAACTTGTACAAAATGGTTCAAGTAATGAAATTGTATGGTTTTATTTGATTCCTCTACTTTGAATTCAACGTCTTGAATCTTGAAAAAGCAACTAAACAACTGTAGATACGTCAAGATTAAGGTATTACGAGGATGATCCGTGTCAACCGGTTGCGGAGTCAGGACTTTTGGTTTGGAATTGAAAGTTCAAATTTATTGAATATTTAAGTTCAACGCGCAGAATTACATAATTAAAAGCAACCAGTCACTTTTTAACTGTTTCTAATTGATTAATCATTCACATCAATTTATTCCATGTTGAATTACCACGATTTGTAATATAAAAGCAATGAAGAACATCAAATTGACCACGGATAAATCTCAACTGGATAAAAAATTTGGGTACTTGGCCAGTCAATAATTAACTATAAATTGCAACAAATTTACAGTATGGTCCAAATCCGTATAGTATATCCCGACTCCTAGTTTATTCCTTAACTCTCTTGGACCATGTGTTCCGACGTCATATCTCAACTCCTGGTACCTTATCTTAATCCTCCTGAATTTGTGCTTCTGCAACGAATCTCGATCCCGTTGTCAATTTATCTTCGGTTGATTAGGTGATTTGGCGTTTGATCAAAAAGATTTTATGTGTTTTGATCTATGGTTTAATGTGAAAAAATATAGCTACATCAACAAATCAGAGTTTGAATGAATTTATTACTCAAATAATTTGGTGGTTGTATTTTTGAATCAATGAATGTGCTTTGAATTTTCAAATGAATGATCTTTATAAAAGTATGATTCAACACACTTTTGGACATCTCATGGATGTATATTTATAATTAGTAGTGTTTGGGATGAAAAGAAATTCAAAATCAGCTTGAAAATCGAAATTACTGTTCTTCGAATATCCACGTCGCTTGAGCTTCAGGTCAGCAATAGGCGATGGGCAGTTGAGCAGTCGTCAGTATTTTTATTATAACTTTCTCTTTTGATATTCAATTGAGATAATTCGAAATACGTTGGAAAGTTAACTCAATGAATTACATTTCTTCTAGCAATAGCATTCTCCAAATTCAAATGTTTTTTTGTCTGAAAAATGCATTGAAAGTTGCGACTGAGAATTTGAAGCATAACTTGTGCGACTCTTTGACATCCTTTAGATTTCTAATTGCATTTCAATGATCATATATGATCTTCTTGGACTCCTTCAAGACCCGTACTACTAATTTCAACTCTTTTGCTTTAATTAGGATTCAATAACTCATATTTTGACTTTAATTACAACTTGATAAATTTCTAATACAATTCAATTAGGACATGATTTGACTAAGAAAATTGTTAATTACAAATTTAAAAACTGTCAATTATAATTTGAACTTAATAGAGTGTGATATGATATTATTTGCTGTTATTCGACTACTAATCAAGTACGCTTACACTACTAAGTCTGGGGAACCAGGTAACCAAAAGTAGCGATTAGAATAATAGGAGTTCGCTAGGATTGTAGTGAATTTCCACAATAAATAAATTGGTAGCATATTAGTGGTGTTGTAGAAGACAACTGCAAATTAAAAGCTAAAGTAATCGACTTTGAATTTACCGTAGATAAAAATACAAATAGCATAGCGAAAAAAATAAAAAATGGATTGACATTTTATTCGAAACGAACAAGTTTCATTATTCAATGCTTGAAAAATTGAAAAGATTGGAAAAATAAGTAGAATTCATGTTTAACCATGTACATGAACATGAACATAAAGCAAACAAATATTAAAAATACATTCACAGGGATGGATAAAACACAACTTTGTTCGAGCTATCCAAAAAAATCCGAAAAATACTCGGCTTCGCGCCTGGACATGAGAGCTATTAAATCCCTAAATGTAACTTGTGACGATGATCAAAATACAGTCCAAACGATAAAATTGTGTTCTGTTTGGTACAAATTCTTAAAAATTCAATTTTATTCATAATCATTTTCAACCACACATTTTTTCAATAAAATAATTTTACATGCGGACTCACAACATTTTCCCTACATTTTAACTGTACGTTTACACAAAATATATTCTAAAAATGCTACATTAAACATTTCCTAAGTTAATGAATAACACCGTCTAGCACAAATGATGTAATGCCAGTATAAATGGTGCTATATGATATGTTAAATAAAATGTGAAATAAAGTGATGTATCTAAAGTTCGCCTTAGATCGTAGGTACGACCCTGCTTCTGTACTTATTTTCAACGACATATCCTCTAGAAGGATATTTTTCACATTTATCCATATATTTTCCTTACTTTTTATCAAACGGGAGAAGATCAGGAAATTCAGATACAATCGTGACCGTTAAAAAAGAAAAGCAACAGTTAAATTATATTAAACTCGCAACTACAAGAATACGGAGAACCGCAACAGGTAATCTTCCATGAAAACTTCTCTCTCTAAATATGGGAAAATATTTTTATCTACCTTTCCTTCCAGATCACTAGTTTTCTTCCTCTGATCGTCTTTCAATTGGGTAATTATTTTAATTTTTTAATCAATTATCAATTTTTATTCTTATTTCAGTTTTTCTTTTTGTTTTATTGTTATTCTCGGGTTCTAATATTTAATATAAAAATATTTATACATGTAATGCCTGCATTTGTCTTTTGAAGACATAATCTTGGTTGGTTTTTGTTGGGTTGTAGGTTGTCTGACCATTGATCACTTTTTAAATTTTAATGAGTTTCTGAAGATTAGGGTTTCCTCCTTTTTTTTGTTTATTTTTTGCAGGAGTTACAAGTAATTTATTGGAATTTATCGCTGGTAATTATTAAAGGTGGAAGCGTGGGAAAGCCTGGAACTTTTTGATGATAAAAAGGTGAATTCGTCTTTGTGCGTCTTTTTTTGTGTTTTTATTAATGATTATTTTGGGCTTCATAATCATCAATTGCACGGTTTTCCACTGTGAAATTACTGGTGGAAAAGAGTTTATTGTTATTTGGGTATGCAGGGTTTATTTACCTTATTTGATTGCTGGAAAAGTAAAATACTAAACTTGAGTTATAATATTCATTTTTTTCTTTTCCCCTCTGATGAAAACTTGAATGCCTTCTGTTATGTATAACCGGTAAACAATTTTCTGTGTGCTATTAAAATCTGCACTTTTACTTTACGCAATCTATCAGAGAGATCTAATCTATGTTGGAAATTCCTAAAATTTCCATTTTACTTGGTTTGATTGAAGTGTTCTCGAATCATTTAAGCTGTTATCCGTTTGGGTACATTTCAGAAAGATTGAATTGGTTGAAATGTGTACAATTGCATATACGCAGAGTCATGATTATATGATTCTGTCGGCCACGAAGGTTATTAGGTCGACCAGTATCAATTTTGCAAGACACTTGTTTTTGCAAGACATTTGTTTTGATTCCTGGTTCTAGATTCTTGGAACTTATCGATATAGTTACTCTATTAACCGTTGGTTAATTGTTCAAGAGTATTCTTGTAACTTCACTAGTGAGCAAAGGCGTGTAGACAAAAATGTCGTAACATTATTTTTACAGCTGTCTTTCCTCGATGAGCTTTAATTTCACTTAATGATTCCGTGTTTTACCTGTTCTGTCGTATTATTGTGTTGCTACAAGTTTCGGACACCTGTCAAAATCTGCAATTTTATTTGTTTCATGGATCTCTAATTTATAGTCACCTATTATAAAGATATTGCAGAATTTTATATTCGCAATTCACAAGTTATTCCAGGTGAATAATATTATTTTTCTAAGAAGTGAACACTCGTAAGATTATGAACTCATGGAGTTCTCCTGAAGTGAAGGACTCGTCTCATGGTTTCAGTTTGCTTTACCTTATACCATGTTTCTGTTGATTGCAATGGTGAGTCGGAATCTGATAATCTCTATGCTGTATCATAATGAGCCGAAGTAAGATTGTGTTTTAACGTTTCTCTGGATGGCTGTGTTGATAAATCATATTATTAACTGACCCACTGACTTCTCTATGCCATGTTCAGTGAGTTCACTTGAAATTTATCGTTTGTTCTATGACATTTTTAGTCTGGGTTCAATTATTAATTATATATATTTTCATCTGATACAGGCATCTCGTACAACATGCATCAGAACACACAGTTCAGAGGTCATATGATTGATTTGCAAACAAATCAGCAAGGTCACAGTCATCTACATCCTGATCCTTGTGTCTTTTATGGGACTGCATCAAACTTTCTCCAGCCTAATATTCATTCCATAGTTCCTGCTCCAGGGAACCCTTCTAATTTTAATTATCAACATATACCAGACCATCATGATGGTGCTTTATTCTATGGGGTGACACAGTACAATGCTGTCCACCAGCAGCCTCCGGCCTCCAATCTTGATTTAACTGTTGCCGCACCTTCAGGTCATTATAATCCATATGTACCCCCATCTGGTTTTAGGGATTTCCCTGTTCCAGTAAATCATGGGGTGCATGATCAGTTGTCACTCTCAAGCACTCACAGAACTGTTGGTATTCCTACGGATAACTACAGAAGAATCATTCCTTACGCGGATGGAGTTGGAGGCTCATTTAAGAGAAAGAATGCTGAAGATTTTCCTGGAAATTATTATTATCATAATGCTTTAGTGGGCCTTAGTTCTTTTGTTTCCCCTGTGACTTCAAGGCCGACTGAGTCCGTTCCTACTTCTTTTCTGCCACCTGAGTATGCCGGTGACGACCCTACATCAATGGTTGAAGGTGGATCTCATAGAAGTTTGAGTAATAGACCTGAATCTGCTCTGGCACGTAACCCTAATCATTTTCAAGGAAATCATGTCGCTCAATCAGTGCAGTTTCTCTGCAATCCTTGGTTGAACATGCATTTTAACTGTGGTGATAACGGCACTTGTTGGAACCAGGCTCTCAATTCACCCTATGTACACGGTAAATGTGCATTTTTTATTTTTATAAATTATTCTGGGCTTTCGTTGCCATCGTTTGTTTTTGAATTTCTGGTTTCTGTTCTGATGATTTTCTCTATGTGACTCCTCACCTCCTCCTCCAATCCTTGGCATCTCAGCAAATGTGAATGGACCTTATGTTGAAGCTGGGAATATTGGCGTACAAGGTTATCAAATGACAGCCATTAACAGAAGTTCCAGTGGTTTTCTTTATTCTCCCATTGCTCAGAGCCAACCCCATCTTCATCATCCACCTCCACCTATGCAAGGGGTCGGAAGATATAATTATAACTTTCCATCTCAAGTGGCTACATCTTCAAGTAGAATATCGACAATCAGTTCTTCAAATAGCAGCGTCAATGCTCTCCAGGGTGTTACAGATGCTGGGCCTACATTTGTAGCACCAGTTTTGCCAACAGGCTTTCGGTTGTACGAACCTCATAGAAGCGAACTCTTACTAGATTCAAATGCACGGCTCCCCAACCTTCCTCACTTGAGGTTTCTGCCAGAAGATGTAATGCTTTCATTGTTATTTTAGTTTTAGCGTTTGCCTGTATGAAGTTCTGTTTCATTTAAATACCTTTTAGCTTTGTCATAATTGACTAATTTGGTTGATGACTATGTTTTACGTTTATGCGTTTGATGAACAAGAGACTTACAGTAATTTTTCTTTTTGTTTGTAATGGACGGACATTTTTAGGGAGTTGCCATGCTAGAGATTCCTGGCTACAATGAAGCAGGAGATTCTATTGATCAGCACTGGGATATGCGTCTAGATATAGATCACATGTCGTACGAGGTAACTGAGGAGGTTATTTTGATCTGATGTGATTTATTTTTAAGATTTTAGAACAGCTTTTGAAAATGGTTTTCCTCAGCTGTGCGACCATGTGATGTATGGTTGTATGACGGTAAAGACACTCTTTTTAAGTTACTGAGCTTTTATAACGTTGTTTCACTTTTATCACCAGTTTTCTTTTTATCTTTTCGTCCCAAATTAATCATTGAACAATTTATGCACTCCTTCTACCTGTCGCTTGTACGATAGAAATAATGACTTGGCGTAAATAGTCCATTAATGCATTAATTTTGTTGTTTAAATTGGCGAAAATGCTTCTTTTTAAAAAAATAAATGCATTTATGAAGCACAGATTAGAAAAATATAAGCATCTTGGCATTTTGAAGAATGAAACCAATGCATTAGTGGATCTTTTAAGCTGCATCATCAGTGATATCATACAAGTAAGCAAATCCGTTACTTTTGCTAGATAGAGTTCTGAAACTAAGGCAAAAACGAAATTCATTGACGAATTTGGACCAAAAAAGCCTTGATGACCAAAGTGACATAACATATAAGTTTGGTGACACAATATTTTTAACCCTCTGTGACCTGTGACAATTTTTTTGAACTCGATGTTTTCTTTGCCAGGAGCTTCTTGCACTGGGGGATCAGATTGGTAGTGTTGGCACTGGATTGTCTGAAGTAGCCATTCAAAATAATTTGAGAACAAGAACTTTCACTTCATCGGCAGCTTGTTCCAATATTGAAGAGGCAGCATTCGTGGATCAGAAAGTCAATTTATGTGTCATATGCCAGGTATTATTTTATTTTATGAGATGGAACTAAAATGATGTTAGATCATGTTTATTGTTTAGTTGTGTCAATTATCTGTCATTATGGAACTAATCTTGGGATAAATTAAAAGTGGTACAAGTGTAACAATATATTGTTTGATTCATAAATTGCAGATGTTTCAATCTCTTCTATTTGACATAGCCTCCCTCTCACTCTATCGCCCACCCTATGCAACACAATGAAAGCAGGAGGTTTACAGATTTTTTTTTGGATCAAAACCACAATTAAGGGCTTGTTTGAGCCCCCATTTTTTGGGAGAATAAATTTCGTAATAGAAGGTTTTTTTTTTTTTTTGGAGAATGTGTTTTAAAAAGTAAGGAAATGTTTTTAGTTTACGAGTAAAATTATTTTATTGGGAGAATGTGTGATTGAAAATGAGTACGGGGAAAAGTCAGTTTTTAAAAAATGGGGCTCAACCAGGGGCTAAGTCTCCCAACTTACACTGTTGTTTCACTTAGGTCACCAATTTTTATTTTGTTTTAGCTAGTCATTTAACTTTCGTTTTTTGTTTCAATTTAGGCATTTTGAACCCTTGAATTAACACTAATATGTCGTGATGAAGAAAAACGATGACGTGGTATGAAAAATTTGTTAGTCCATTAATTTATCATGTAGTTTGGCATAAATGTGTATTGTTGGACAAGTTGCTATTTCAAAATGGACTTTTATAAAGTAAAAAAGAAAGAAAGAAAGCATGATTTGTTCAACAAGACACGGTTTTGCCTAATTCGACGATATAAATGAAGCACCAACAATTTTTTCATGCCACATCAGCATTTCACATTTCCGTTAATTCAGCTGGCAGAGGTGGACAGAGTGCTTAAATTGAAACAAAAGTTTTCGGCGACTAACTTGGAACAAAAAAAAAGTTGATGGCCAAAGTGAAACAATGCTAAAAGTTGAGTGATTAAAGTTGCTCTTGACCCGATTTTTATATGCTAACCAAAAAGTGCCCCTTTTGCTCACACTACCATGGATAGCTGCTTCCATTGTTATAATTGGATATTGTATGAAACAAACTTTTACATTGATGTTTGTTTGCTCAATCTTACTCTTATGGAGATTGATTATGAGGATCAAGAAAATATTGGAATCTTGGATTGTGGACATGAATGCCATGGAGATTGCATAAAGAAGTGGCTGCTCGTGAAAAATACTTGTCCCATATGCAAATCAACAGCATTGGTAATTGACAGGAAGGATATGTAAATAAAGGTGGCCATGGCAGTTGAAAGACCAGTTTAACAAATTGGGCCTTCTGTCATTTTACAAATATTCGGAGTACAAACTTTTTGGTTATGTATTTATGTAAATGCTTTCAGGCATAGAATAGCAGTCAACGTGTCCTAAAACAGTTGCTAGCCTTTGTGTCTGTCTCTTGCAAAGTGTACAGATTTTCTCATTTGTTTGTTGAATTCTGTATAAAACCCTCTATTTACTTGTGGATTTATTCTGCCAAATGCTCGAGGGATTTTGTTTTTTTTTTCCCAAAGGTTTTCAATATTTGGCTGTCTGTTGTGAAAAACTGATGCTACCTCAGATTGTATGTACAGATGGGTGGATTTCTGGAACAAGTCCAATTTTTGAGTATTTCTTGCAGGCAGTTTCTTTTAGTTTCGAAATCCTGGACAAAAAGTTCTTTATGCATTCAAGATTGGATTAAGCCATTTGTACATGAAGTTCGACATTTCTTTGGAAATTCAAAGTGTTGGTGGGAAAGTGTGCAATGATTAAAAATTGGCTAATCATGATGCGACATGTGGCACAATGTCAAGCTTAGTATCAAATGTACAAGCAGCATGATCCTTCAAGATTATGAAGATAAAGTGCACCATTGATAAGTTGATGAAAGGATTAAGGAACTGAAAAATGCAACTTGTGTCATGATGCAATATGATTCAATATCTATCAGCACACTAGGGAATGTCTGATTGTAACACACTCATTCATCAATTATAAGAAACATTGAAAATCACCATTTTGAAGAATTTTAATCCAGAGATCATCCAAACTGCGCTATAATACAACAGAAGATCAGAGTACACAAATGGAACAACACAGATTGAAAGAGAAAAATAGAAAAATACTGTAACAACACGTCTCTTAACTCCAAAACTGAGCTGCTCTAGCTCGAGGATATCAGTATAGTGACAACAAAAAGAACTAGCACCGTTGAACGGGTTCATGAATTTCAAGGAAAACGCAACGCCCACTGATCCATGAGTCTTGTGATTAGACTGAGCAACAACCAACCTTCTTCACTGCTGAAACGTCATCCTTGGTCCCAACGTCTATGGTTTGCCCTTTGGGCAGGGCAGCAGGGTCGTCCCCAATATCAAGTGCCTTCCGACTAACCACATGGTATATTTGGGTGAGTACTTCCGTAAAAGCATTCCCAACATTCATAGACTCGAGTGCAGATGTCTCCATAAAGTATGTATTTTCTCTCTCGGCAAAAGCCTTACCATCCTCTGTGGAGACAGCACGTAGATGACGTAAATCAGCCTTGTTGCCCACAAGCATTATCACAATATTCTGGTCTGTGTGATCTCGGAGCTCTTTCAACCATCTTTCAACGTTCTCAAATGTGACATGTCGAGTGACATCATAAACAAGCAAAGCACCAACTGCCCCCCGGTAGTATGCACTTGTGATTGCACGGTATCTTAAGACAAATGGAAAATTGAGAATTAAGAACTTAAACATGCGATATAAACAAATAACAGACATAAATGAGAGCACATATTCAGTTCTGCACACCTATTCTTGGAGTTAATGTTTCATTGATCACTGAACTCATACTTACGTCACGTTCTACTTACTGAACTTTAAAATGCTTTCAACTAATCACTTAACTTACACTTCCGTCACACTTTACTCACTGAACTTGTGCTTTCGAGTGATCACTGAACTTCAACATATTACACTCCATCACACTTACCATGTTTCGTTAGTGAACTTTCCGAGTGGTCACTAAACTTCACAATGTTTTCAATTAAAGTTGATTTTATGTAAAATTCGACCTAAAAAAATTAAAATATTGACAACATAATGGAACTCTCAATCTAAGACGAAAATATTGATGTTGGACAAGAAGATATAATTTCTCTAGTCGTCAAAAGCTATGTTCAAGGGAAAAGAAGAATACTAGCTTCAAATTGACATAAATCTTAATTTAGAACATAATCTTCCTTTATGCCGAGAAAATAAATAGAGAAATTATTTTTTTATTTCTATTGAGATCCCAAATCAAGAAAATAAAAAATTATATCTCAAACAGGCTATGCAATTTTCGTTTTAGATTCAATAATATTAATTAATACTAACAAAATATAATTTTTAGAGTCGTTATAAGGTAATCCAAGAGGAAAGAAGGGCATCGTTTTTGTGTAATGTATTTTATACTTCAAAATTTTCAATTTTTGAATAATTGAATTCAATAAGTAAAGTTTAGTGATCAAAGCATTTTAAAATTTAGTGAGTAAAGCGTGACGGAAGTACAAGTTCAGTGAGTAATGAAACATTTAACTCCCTATTCTTGCCACATATAATGAATTCATGACGAGAAAGATGGTGCAATTTGTTTGTAATTGAAAAAACTTTCGATGGCAACAAAACCACACACATATATCCTGAGTCATATCACTCGACTTCTATATCACACTTTCATCCTTGCTCTTGTGCAATGAAAACTGCAGAAAACGTAGACATATTCATTTGAGCTTCAAAACATAGTCCAACTATTAAAACCTCAGAGAAGGTGCTTTACTTGCCACAACAATCTAACCATAGTCCTTAAGCCTGTCCCAAAACTTCCTTCTGATTGCCCAAAAAATTGAAGTTCATTCATAATCTCCCAAATACAAATTATCCCCCATAGTTATTTATTTGTCTGTCTTCTACTTTCCCTTGTACCAAACATGGAGTAAAATTTTCCTCATTAATTTGAACCCCACCACTAATAAACCCTAATTTCTCCATTTCTTTACAACAAGAGCAAAGAATTCGAATTCCAATAATTTCATAACAGACACAACAATAAAAAAGTTTAAATTACAGAAAAAAATTATAAGTAAAATCAGCGAGTAATAAACTATAGTACCGTTCTTGGCCAGCGGTGTCCCAAATCTGGGCTTTGACGATCTTATCTTCTACACTAATGCTTCGGGTGGCGAATTCAACGCCGATCGTAGACTTTGACTCCAAACTGAACTCGTTGCGCGTGAATCTCGAAAGTAAATTCGATTTTCCAACACCAGAATCGCCAATCAAAACCAGTTTGAACAAGTAATCGTAATCATCTTCCGCCCTATATCCTCCCGCCATCTCAATATACAAGTTTCTAATTATACATGAAGAAACCCAGTAACGCTAGTATGGGTTGGGATTTTATCAGAAAGAGAATTCAAGAGAATTGGGAAAAGTGTTTATGGTTGAGCCAACTTTTACCAGCTGGTTTAAAAGGTGATTGAATGATGTAAATCAGTTGGGAATACGATGAGTTAATTGTTTCATGAACTTTGGGTACGGTACCATATTTCAAATTTTACCATATTACTCGTCGAACTTTACTAAGTTGCACTCCGTTACACAACGTTTCTACCGGCATCATGCTACATGGATGCACTCGAAAAACAAATTCAAAAATAGAGATGACATGTGTCGATAAATGATTGGACATTTTTGAAAATAATAAAAACACAACATCCAATTATTATCTGTCACGTCACTCAATCTCTCCACAATTATTATCTGTCACGTCACTCTCTCTCTCCATCCCAATTCTTAAGCTTGTCCAATGAGCATTAATCAAAATCAAATGCCAGCTCATTTAATTGTAGATTATGAGGAAAGCTTATTCGAGTATTAAATACATAAATGATCATCAAAATGCCAAATTCCTAAATTCAGGCTAGACGATGAAATTACTAATTAGAGAAGACAAATTTTGATCCTATTCATCGTCGAGTCCATTGTACCCCTTATTCCTCTCAAGCATGTGAAGGTGAGTTGAATCGTAAACAATCGAGATGTACTGTTATACATTCTAGCTCAAACCTAACATAGCTCAAACTGAGATTTGATTGATCAAAGAGGTGTATCGTACCAATTCTAGATTGTGACTCATGTGGATGAGCTTACACAATTCCTTTTTTTTTTTTTATTATTTTGTTTTCTTTAGAAAATTATCTGGTAAAAGAAATGTGTTGTCCGACTTATTTTTTCACTATTATTATTTTGTTTTCTTTCATTTGGATTTATGCAAAGGAGATCAAACTCTGAAAAGAATGATCCTTAGCCTCTCCTATAATTCAACCGAATCTTTTATTTCATATCAGAATAACACAATATGAGGCCCACCCTTGGTCACATCGGCACATAACTATAGATGATGTCCGCGTAAAATATATATAAAAAGTGTTTACAAATAATCGTGTTTATAAATAAGTAAAAATGAGTTATGTCAAACACATCCTAAGTAAATAATAATTGTGAATTTTACGAAATATGTGGAAAAAAAAAGTTTTTTGACTTTTAGCAAGTGTTATAAACACTTGCCAAACATACTCTTAATATGAATGAATTAGTTTGTTCATGTTGGAATTTTGTATTGGAAAGTGGTTGTGATCAATTGAAATGATTTAAGTGGAAATTCCTTATTTGGTGAATGAGAAATTAAGTCAAACTTAAACCACTTAATACTTGAAATTATTGAAAAATTGTGTAGAATATCGTGGAATATTCTAGAGATGATGTAGATGAAAAGACGTGTCTTTTCATATGAAATATCATGGCCTTTGGAGATCATGACTTTTGGTATGAGTAACTTTCAATAATTATGTATCTTCAAGAGATGTGTCTCTTGGTATGATTGTGTCTTTTGACATGCCTTTCCAACTACTATATATATGGATTCCCCATATGTTTGGATAACAACAATAACAAGATGGGAAAAACAACAAACAATTCAATTGATAGTTTCATATCATTCCATTCCATGTTTACAATTTAGTTTCGCATAAAACACTTTGTAGAAATGATTATTTCTTGCATCAAAATCATGGTTATGGTAGAGAGGGAACTCCGTTCGAGTTCGTTGGTCTAAGTCATTTGGAGTGCTCCTATGGCTTGATGTGGTCGTTGTACCTTGGGAGATGATTGCCGAAAAACCGTTAGCACCGATGCGGGGCAAATTCATCTTAAGGA